TTTTGACCTCAGTAAAAAGTGCAGCAAAATTATTTTTTATCTCCATCTTAGCCTTACAATAGAAAATAATATTATGGCATTCAAAGAGGTATTGCAGAATAACAAAAATGTGTGCTTTTGTAAAAAAGAAAATAGAAACCCATTGTAATCATATAGGTCAATATAAGAAGTCTGCACAGGTGTTAGTACCACTTCTTTCTCTCTGACCTTTTCATGATTCTTGGGTATTTTTCTTTATTTGTTACTTATTTATTGTATATTTTTGGAGACAGGCTCACTCGTGGAACAGGCTTGTCTCCTACCTACTATGGACCAGAAGACAACCTGGATCCTCCAGCTTCCACGTCCTAAGTGCTGGGATGACAGGGGCCACCACACCACAACCAGCTATTTTATTTTGTTAGCACATTAAATAATGCAAATTAAAATAATAATAGTTTCTTTGCTACCTCCTCTGAGTCAAATTTCAACAACTGTACCCTTTGGTGATACACTAACAGCCATACTACACAAAGCAGATGACATCATAGTTGCAGTTCTTTCTCAGGCAAGAATTATAATATTGGAGGTCAAAAGATGCTCTATCAAATCATTAGGCTGCTAGAGAAAGTGCTTACTCAATATGAGACACCTAGTTAAAAATAAATGAGGAATATAGAGTAGCATCCTCTTTAAGTGCCAGCATGGAACAGAACTGGTGTACACAGACACACACAGACTCTCTCTCTTCTCATATTTCTTTTCTGACTTGACGTCTTGCAGAGCACAGTTTTAAGCAAACACTTTGCCGCTATCGAATTTATAATATCATCTCCCTGTTCTGTGTCAGTGATTTACTTGCCACTCTCTGTCCAAGCCATAAAACACAAATACCAGCTTTTGTGTATAGCCGCTCCAGAACTATTTCTAACGACACATTTCTGTATACAATAGGATCACCTAGTTCATGCTGCAGTGTTCAACAGTGTCCCAACCTCAGTGGCTTGGCACTTGTTTATACTACATATCCAATGTGTTGTTCAGGACGCTTGGGTTCATCCCAGTCCTCTTAGACACAGCATCCAGGGCGGCTTGCTTCTCATTGAAAACTAATTGCATCTACTTAGATGTGGCATGTGCCACTCTGAGTCACAATTCATTGTCTAAAGAAACTCATGTGATTTAGAAGGGGCAGAGTGAACAACCCATCTCCCAATTCTGTCTACCTGTCTCTCCCTTAATCACAGGCAATGTCTTCTTCTTGGGAAAAAAAAAGCCACACATTTGGAAAATAGAATCCAAAGAAGCTTCTCATCAAAACCAAGCCAACTGTGTCTGTGGAGAATAAATAAAAACATAGATGATACCATGAACATCGTTTTGCTTTTGTTGTCTGCTCTTTTACTTCAGACAAGACAGTGAAAATGGCAGCTGGTAGTCCTTTGGAAAAAAAATGGATGTAAAAAAAGATTTTCATTCTTAGATCTCTATTCTTTTAAGTTATGAAATTGTCCAGGGAGTGGCTTTGGAAGCCATCTGTGAATATTCCCCTTTGCATCTAATATTCCCAAACACAATTCAGTGATTGTGATTCAGTCTTTTCTCTGATGTGAAATTCTGAGTGCTGCAGCCACCTTGTCTTTGTGGATAGAAATGAAACCATTTCCTTGGGAGGGGGAGCCCACCTGTCACTGAGGCAAGGAAACAGACATCCAGACAACTGCAGGTGATAACACTCCAGTGGGTATTTGTGAGTTAAGAAAGTAGAACAGCTGCACATTGTTTAAGCCTCAGTGTCATTCAGTCTGCTACACAGAACCACACTGCAACTCATGACAGTTTTCCTTACCTTACCTCTTGCTCTTGCATAGAGCTTAAACCAATTTTTTAAATAACTAGAGCGAAATCAACAGGAAACATCTCCTTTTGAGTGGGTGGCATGAAGTATACAAATGTTCTCTTTAATTAATGAGATGACAAGTTTCTTAAATATCATTTTTCCCTATTTTATCTCCTATGGCTAAGAAGAAAACCAAATGCCTTTTATTCTTGTTACATTCCTTCTACATTGTTAGTATTTATATATTTGTACTGGCCTACCCTTGGAGTCCTGACAGCATATACCCTCAGCTGCCACCACTAAGAGTACCACCTATGCCTATTCACTGTTACCTTTAAAAAGGGCCCTGCCCACCTCCCATTCTTCTCTGTCATTCTTCCTTTCTTTGTTTCTTTCTTTCTTTCTTTCTCTCCCCATCTCTGTCTGTTTCTCTCTACCTATATATCTCTATCATTTCTGTCTCTATATTTCTATCTCTGTCTATCTCTCTGCCTGTTTCCCCTCTCCCACTGCTCCTGTCCCCAGAGGCTGGTCTCCCCTTGCCCTTTCCTCTTTTTATGATCCTTTACCCTAATTAAAAAAAATCTGTCCAAACTCTGTCACATGGTGTCTTCCTCACCTCTTTTAAAAATTCCAACATATATGACATGTATGAACATGAAGATTTATTTGCTTCTCACATGATTTCCATGTTCAATTCTGTGCATCCGATTTTGCTTTTTCAAAATCAAAACACTATTGTCAAGATAACCTAACCATACAAAATGTATAAAATAGAAAAATATCTCAAAAGGGAATTTAAATGTTTCTCCCATTGTTTCATGTTCTGTGGTTGGAATTACTACTTTTGAGTTACAGGGAAATACCACACTTAAATATATTGCATATTAATAATTTACATGAACAATAAATAAGTTTGTATTTCAATTTGTTCTACATATAAGATTGTATCTTGGCCAATAACTAAATAATAACTTTAAATCAATTAACTATTCATTGATTTATTCATTGGGAGTATGTTATCACATATACTAAAATAAAGTCTTTATATAAAAGAGATAGAAAATACATAGATTTGAATAGAGATTTTCAAGGAAAATGATATTAAGATGATTTAGGAATGATCAGGCATGAAATAATTATAATTTTGTAAAGCAAAAGGTTACAAACCACAACCACAGAGAAGCTAGGTGAAAAGGGAGACCCTAAGAGGGACACACATGGAGGGGCCCAGGAATGGAAAATAGTAAAGATCTCCTGGGTAAACTGGGAGGGCAGGTAGAAGGGAAGGGATGCAGAATGGGAACATGAGGGCTCAAGAAGACTGAATTGAAGGAAGGATGGAGTGGAAAAGCAAAGAAAGAGATCCCTTGACAGAGGGAGACATTATGGGGTTAGGGAGAAACCTGGTGCTAGAGAGATTCCCAGAAATCCATAAGGATGACCCCAGCTAAGACTCCTAGCAAGAGCCTGATACCTGGCCCAAGTGAATTTACTTGGATTAGTGCACTCTGTACATGCATAGTAAATAAATATTGTTTTAAGAGAGGCAGTACACTAACACAGTTGATATATAAGTCTGCCTCCTTTCAAATGATCACACTTCAAACCATTGTAGAGAATTACATAAGGTAGAAATATTCCCATAACCCTAGATTCTTATGCAGCACAATTAACTGAAGAAAAATGAAAGTTGGTTACTTGAAAAGAGACACATCAATTCTCTTAGACACCGTCATTGGCAATCACTAATGGCCTCAGAGACCTACACCTGTGACAACTGCACCTAGTCTCCAGGGGTGTCAGGACCAAATGAGCAAATTTGGTACAGAATACCAAGTCCATGCTGCAGCTTGTGAGCTGAGCACCCTCAATAAGTACTTGCTACATTGTTATATAATATTCAGACAAGCTATATAAGGAGCTCACATAAAAAAAGCATCATAAAAACAAGCTATGCTTGCCCCTTGGAGTCAACGTGTGAACAAGCATCTACAGACTCAATTTCTTCTCAAATTCTTCTCACATTCATGCTGAGAACTGAGTTCAAGTGCCACATAGAACTAGTAATATTTAACATCAATGCTACATTGCAAAGGATCACAGTGGGTATTTATTTTCTCTCAGGACACAAATTACCATTGTTTTTATAGCATTCATATTTTTAAAAGGTAAAATGGAACTAACATCTAAGAATAAATAGATATTCCTTATTTCATTTCTATTGGCAGATACACAGGTTAGAATTTTCCCAGCACAGGATACCATCAATTACAATGTGTCTGAGCTTTTGTGTTGTGGGATAATCTTTTTGTACAGTGTGAAGATGTGTATCTGCCAAGGCACCATCTGATTGGTTTAATAAAGAGCTGAATATCCAATAGTTAGGCAGCAGAGGATAGGCAGGACTTCCAGGAACTCTGGGAAGAAGAGAGTTGATTTCCCCAGCTAGACCCAGAGGTAGTCAGACGTACAGTAGGGAGAAAGGTAAGGAGTTACGTGGCAGAATGAAGATTAACATAAACAGGTTAATTTAAGTTATAAGAGCTAGTTGGGAACAAGCCTAAGCTAGGGCCAAGCTTTTTCTACTTAATAAGAAGTCTCCATATCATTATTTGAGAGCTGGTAATCCAAAGAAAGTCCGAGTACACATTAGTGTACATAACATCACATAGAGGGGAAGAAAGCTATGATGAGTACTAACCCACAGCCAAAATAAAAATGAAATGGATTTGATGGTGCTGAGGTGGGAAAAGGAAATCATGGGAAGACGAATCTTAGGAACCAGATACAGTTTGTGTGGAGGCTCCTTCAGGGAGGGCTTCGAATCCTTAGACTGAAGTTGCATCCTGTGAAATGGCCTAGATGATTTGTGCATACTGGAGACAGTTTTATACATCACATTTCCCTGATGAAAACGGCAACCTGGTTTTGCTGAGTCAAAAAACCTGCCTGCTTCAGGTCAAGCCATATATCACTTTTTATTCTTATAAAATGACCTCATGAACAATAAACAATATAAATAAATCTGTAAGATATGATGATGATTTCAGTAGAGTACCAGAGCCTTCCTAAATAGAATTCTGTACAGCTAATGAAAATCTCACCCAACTGAGGTGCTTCAGTGAATGAGGCAGAATAGAAATAAATGAATAAATAAATAAATGAGGCCATTTCCTACCAGAATAAGATGATCCTAACATTGCCTTTCTTCCAGAAGGCTCTTGCTGATTTCCCCCAGTCAGGGTAGGGCTTGTCCTGAAGCATCATATCGGTGACCTGGAGAGGAGAGGAACTGGCTTAACACTTGAAGAAATCTCAAATTCAGATTTCAAGACAAGCCTAAAATTTACATCTACTGAGAATAGAATATGCACATATTTAACATCAGAACACACGAGAAGATACAAATTAGAAGCATATGCTTCATTCCATTCAAAACCATAAGAGTGGATTTAACTTTACATACTGGGTGAGCATGTTTAAAGTTACCCAGCAAGTGAAGTACTGAGGCTGTAGACAGTATTTAAGATGATATAGGAGTTTTTTCAATTGAACTATGTTTCATTAAAACTATTAGCACATGCTATCTGTCTAAAACAAGGGGTCTCATCTCTGCATTGTACACAGGTACACAGTGTTCTTTGGTCTTATGAAACCCCTCTCCTCTCACTTGAATACCACCTTTTATAGGATGATACCTTTGATTAGCAGTGTCTCTTTAGCATTTGTTTCTAAATCATAAGCTTAAAAACAGATCCTCCAAATGCCAAATTCAAATGATTTTACCTAAATCCTAATTCAAGTCTTTTCCTCTCCTTTTTCCATTACACTTTCTGTGGCTTTTCTGATTCACCTGACACTCACCCATGAAGTGGTAAATAAATAATACATCAGCAAAACTTCAGGCCTTCCCTGCCACGAATCTGGTACAGCACTTATTTCCCCCAGTTTACAATGCATGTACTGCAATTAGCCAGAGCTCGCCCATCTACATCACGGCATCTTCCAATAGCGTCCTTCCTCTTTCTGCCTTGCCCATCTACTGAGGCCCAGGTGCAGATGTTTCACTCCAAAACAGACAAATCACACCTCCTCACTCATCTTCCCATGCCACACCACATTCTGTTTCCAGTTTTCACACTTCTCATTTCTTTCTATTAGTCTTTAATGTCCCTGACAGTAAATGTTTATCTTTGCATCCTTTCTAATGTCTAAGGATCTGCCACATAGCAGTCCAAAATGTTCATACAAAAAAATAAATGACAAAATGAATTAGTAAATATATGTTTATGTTTAAATGCTCATTAGCAAAGTAAATTGATCATTAGCCATATTACATATTAAAGCTTTCTGCAAATGTTCAGTGCATAAATAATAGCCTGCTATATGAACATTTAAGAAGCCTATAGGTATGGGAAATGATTTTCCTTAAAAAAGGAAGACATGTTTTTTGTATGCACACATACGTATGCATATGTAACTTCTTTTTCTAGAAAACTTATATTCCATCAAACAGACATCATTCCAGTAGTTTTGATTTTGGTTGATAATGCTCAAATTCAAACACACACTGTCTTCATCAGGATTACTCATGCTGTGATGAAGCATCAGGACCAAAGCAGCTTGGGGAGGGAGGGTTTATCCGGCTTACACTCCCACATCATAGTTCATCATCAAAGGAAGTCAGGACAGGAACTCAAGCAGGGCAGGAACCTGGAGGCAGGAGTGATGTACAGACCATGGAGGAATGCTGCTTACTGGCTTGCTCATCATGGCTTGCTCAGTCTATTTCTTATAGAAACCAGGACCACAAGCCCAGAGATGGCACCATCCACAATAAGCCCCCCTCCCCCATCAATCACTAATTAAGAAACTATCCTACAGGCTTGCCTACAGCTTCATCTTACGGTGGCATTTTCTTAATGAAGGTTCCCTCCTCTCAGATGACATTAGTTTGTGTCAAGTGGACATAAAACCAGCCAGGACACACAATGCAGATTTAAATTAAGAAACCTGATATAGAATAAAGTATAATACATTGCATAAAGAAGAATTTTGAATAATCATTAAGAAATACTCCTGTGCTATCAGCTTTGGTCAGACAAGCCCCTTTGTGCAGTGGCCAGTGCCAACTCTACAGACTCATAATCAAAGTGATGATAATAAGTGGCAACTAAATGTAAAGCTACAAATGTACCTCGATCACCCCCTTCAAGACGCAGGGATCATGGCAGAACAGGGAGGGGAAAGAATTGAAGAACTGTGGGAAAGTCTCAGTTCCTCGAACTTCCTGTTGATACAAGTGGAGGCAACTAATAATGATAGTTCAAAATGGACAGATACATATTTTATTTGCTTTTATTTGTGTATGTGTGTGCAGATATGCAGGTGTGTGTGTGTGTGTGTGTGTGTGTGTGTGTGTGTGTGTGTGTGTGTGTGTGTAGATATGTGTGTATCACAGAGGACAAAAGGACATCAGATTAACTAAAGCCAGAATTTCAGGCAGTTGTGAGCACTT